CACAAGAAATATTAATACAGAAGATCAGAGAGCCTCCCCAGTTTGGCCAACCCGTCAGATTCTGCAATATAATCCCTCCCATGGCACCCTTCAAAGCTCGGTTGCAGTTGTCGAGGGAACAGATAAAGGAGATCTTTCTCGAGCACGACCTCGACGGAGATGGCGCCCTCAGCCTCAGTGAGCTCACTCAAGCCTTCAGTTTCTTAGGCAATCTTCTTCCGTACTACAAAGCTCACTACGGTCTCGCTTATGCTGATGCTGATGGCGATGGCCTCATCACTGAAGACGAGCTCGATGACCTTGTCGACTATGCCATGAAATTTCATGCCAAGAAGCTTTGAGACGGCCTATACTCAATTAATAATATCATGCATGTGATCTTCTCAATGTCGCTATTTGCCATCCTGAAAGCTCTGTAATCAGTAATAATAAGGATTACCGCTTTTACTTATAAGTTATTTATATTAATTGTCTTTATTGACGCTTTCAAACTCAATTTCTTTGGATTAAATATGCACTTGGGACTTTATGCAAACTTTTGAGCGAATGTCCACTCACTCCACAGTTGAGTTTTTGGCAAAATATTAGAAGAGCAGAAATCTCACCTATGAAAGTAGGGGTGAAAGATTGTGGTTCAATTTGATTTCTAGTCAGAGAGGAAATATCGAAAGTGGTTCGGTTAAGTAAATATGAAAACTGAACTGATTCGATTCAAAACCAAACCAGTTCGACTTGGTTTACTATTTTGTTTTTTGAGGATTTTAATCGACTGCTTCCTCTCCCATTCTACTTCGATATGAAAAAAACAAAAAACAAAAAACTTGTAAAATTTTGATGACCACAAACTTGTTTGTGACAAACCTAATATATACTCTTGCAACTACGTTAAAAGTGATTACATAGCATCAAACCTTATATACTTGGAAGTTTAAAAGATAATCCCTCAAAGGTAAAACATATTCAACAAAGATTCCAAATATCTTTTAATTAAACAAAACATTCTATTATTGATATTTACAAGATTCTAACAAAAAAGTAAAAAATCCTTTTGCGTCCTGTCACTGGCTGAGTCTTGATTTTCGTCATGACTCCAACACATGTGTCGCGGCCATCCGAGAGTCATCGGTCGTCGATCGGCCGGGGTCACCAGCCATCCGAGAGTGTAGCGTCAATTCGAGAGAGTGAGTTGAAGATGAAGACTGAGAGAGCAGCGTTAGAGAGGACAATCTTCTTACAACCTCTTGATCGGAAATATATGTCAATTATTGATAAGTCATACTCACTTTGACAAACACGATATACTAGCTGTGTGAGTGGTATAAAACTTTGTAAGAGTATTTTTTGTGATTGGTTTGGAGAAAAAATTCATGATTATAATATTTTTTACATAGTGGATTTTTCATTATTGCGGTGGATCGTAACTTTTCTTATAAATATTTTCTATGTAAATTTTTTTTTGTATTTCTTTATTGTTGTTATTTTCTTTTATTTTTTAATTATCTAATTTTTTGCTTATTTATGCGGTGCGAGTGAGAGGTTTTTTTTCAACCATACCACGGGACATATATGATGCCCATTATAGCATATCATCACGTTTACAATTTAGTAATGGGTTGCTAACAATTCAAAGAAATGCTTGGGGACTTAAAAAGCTAGTACATATTTCATAATTTACAAAGGTTAAAATGCAGGTCTTGAAGCTATAGGGACCAAAAGTGTACGCTAACTTGATCATAATTTAATTGGTTAAGGAGCATATATCTCTAATTAAAGAGTCGAGTTTGAATTCCTCTCACATATTATCATATAAAAAAAATCAAAATGTATTTTATCTAAAAACTTAATTAACTATCATATTACTATTTTGAAGTACGCATTTCTTATAAATTTGGTAATTAATGAGATTCCATGGACGAGGGTGGGGAGTGGTTCAAAAAGAATGTATGGATAAAGAACTATTCTTTTTGTTAGGCAAAAGGATATATTGGAAGAAGTTACTTTATATTAAAATGTCCAAATGAAAATAACGTTAAAAGGTTTCCTATTCAATTTCAAAAGAAATCCAAAAGAAAACCAAATGTTCAATGTATGAGAACTAGATTCCAAATTAACACTTTGTTAAATTGATGATTTGAACCTCTAATAAAGATATAATTATTTGTTGAATCTTGACTAATTGAGTTCATGTTCATATAGGCTACAAAGTTAACTAATACCTTTAACTAGTGTATTAATTTTATTAAAATGAATTTGTCCTTACTATGTCTTTTTTACTTGAAATTTCCTTTTAAAGGTATAAACTCTCTGTCAATTTTTAGGAAGGCTAACCAAATTTTATGAAAAGTTATTCATTAGTATAATAAAATTAATACAGTCCAATTAAAACCATTATTTTATTATTTTATTATTTTATGATCCAACCGAATAAACTAAACGCATAAAAGAATTATTATAATTAATATAATGTAAAATGTAAAGCTTTGATATCTTTATTCTTTTTTTTTTGGAAAAACTACTTCATTGAAGTATTCAACACATTAAAAATTCTAAACATCCACAAATTGTTATGAAAAATATAA